TTTTTTGAGACGGAATCTTGCTCTGTTGCCAGACTGGAGTGCAGTGGCACCATCTCAGCTCACTGCAACCTCTGCCTCCCAGCTTCAAGTGATTCTCCTCCCACAGCCTCCCAAGTGGCTAGGACTACAGGCATGTGCCACCACGCCCAGCTAACTTCTTTGTATTTTTAGTAGAGATAGGGCTTCACCATGTTGGTCAGGATGGTCTAGACTCTTGATCCTAATTATAGTACCCTAGTCACATGGGAGCTTGCTGGAAATGCAGAATCTCAGACATGATCCACCTGCCTCAGCCTCCTAAAGTGCTAGGATTACAGGTGTGAGCCACCACGGCCACCCAATTTCCTACCTTTTTTAAGCTAAAGAATATTCCATTGTGTGTCTATATCACATTTTGTGTATCCATTCATCTGTTGATGGACATTTAAGTTGCTTCCACCTCTTGGCTATTGTAAATAATGCTGCCATGAACATGGTGTGCAACCATCTCTTTGAGTCCCTGCTTTCAATTCTTTTGGGTATATTTGGAAGTGGAATTGCTGAGTCATAGGGACTCCTGCTTTTTGAACACACGTTTTGATTTTGAACTAGGCTGCTGAAATTATACAGCTGGCTCTGCACATGCGCAGCCAGGGTATGTATGAATCACAGTGTCCGAGGACTGTTCTGCTTTAGCCGTTGAAACTAAGGACTAAAGACTTTCCATGCATGACCTGATAGTGTCACCACCACAGTGGAGCAAGTGAGAGAAGTACGACACTGAGCAAGAGTGCTCACCCTCAAGTGTCCCCACCAGTCAGGAGCAGCATGTATTGACATTCATGGCTGCAGAACATTCTGGAACTGGTTTGCATTTATCAATACATGCATTATTTCATCCAAGGCATATGTATTAAACATCAGCTAGGTGCCAGACCTAGTTGAAGGCACTGAGGATAAGGCAGTAAACAATGCATGGAAGGGTCTTCCATGCAAGCCAGACAAGGAAACTAATTGTGCATTTGATGGTTTATTGTGAAAAGTTCTATAAAGGGGAAATGTTGGGCCTTAAGCCCAGGGGTAGAAAGCTGGCTGGGCATGAGTCACTGTCCTGCTTTTAAGGGGCTGCTAAGCTAGGGCAGGAGTTTCCAAAGTGACATGTGAGATGATCTTAAGTTATACATATCATCTTTTTTTAAAATAGGTACATATTCAGTTTAACATGTGTTTAGAAGTATATATCTAATACCTCAAACCCTCAATTCTTAAATATTTCCTGGATGATGCTCAGTTTAAAAATGAATTCATATAAAATGAATAAATATAAACTAAATATTAAAGCCTAGTATGTTTTTATTGAAATGAATAAATAATGCAGGAACTACATGAATGAGACCTAATAGTTTAAAGATTGCAACTCAAAAAAAACTGCATTTTGGAAACTCCTTGTGGGTTTTAAAGATAAATTTTTTTTTAATACAGGCATATTTTTTGGAAGAGGATGACTAGGGCTAAGATACAGCTAATTCCATGGGGAAAGGGAAGTAGCCATGTTTGAGAGGAGCTCCTAACTCAGTTTAGGGGATTCAAGAAAGGCTTCCAAGAAAATTGTTTCATGCGATGAATTTTGTTCCTTTAATTACTCAGGTGTATTTGTGTGAACTCTTCAAGTACGAGCGGTGGAAACCCACTGGAGCCAGCCTAAGCAAGAGGGGTAATTTGCAGATGAGAATGCTGGGTGATTCCACAGTGGCCCACCTCGCTCAGTCTCTGCTCCTGGCCCCGCTCTTACCTGAGCCTCTGCTCTACCTCTCACACTCACTGCACACTTCCTTTCTCAGTGTATTTACAAGTGGACAAGGCAGAAAATGGCTACCACATTCTTCTATTTATATCTCTTCCATTCAAAGATCATCTCGACTGATGTTATCAGTTATTACTTCCAAGCCTTGATTTCTGGGGAAGAGACTTTGGTCCAGTCCATCACAGGTGACCTCAGAGGTGGGACCTTGTTCACACAAGGACCACTGTCACCATGTGGGTCAGCGAAGGGGCAATTCCCGGAATCCAGGTGGGAATGGGGCTGGAGATCCAGAAAGAAAACCTGATGGCATAACCTGGAAAAATCCTCATTTCAACAGCTTCCAGGCTCCCCTGTGCCTGACATCAGAGTAGGTAGGAACTGCCAGCAAACCTAGAACAACATTTTCTCTTAGCCCACCTTGAGGACACAAGTGGCATGAGAGAGCTTTAGTGACAAGGGACCTTGACCCCACCCCTGGCCTGTGACCCAGGGGTTCTCCTGGGGAAGCAGGAAAGCAGTCCCAGGTGCTTGCCAGATACCTAGGATCTAGAACTCTGTTAACCCATAGGAGGGAGGTAGGACGCAAACAGTTGGGCTAGGCCTATATTTCTACTTTATGTTTCAGAAAATCATAGGATTTGGCCCTTCCACTTTGAAAGGCTGTGTCATTCAACAGAATAACTGCTAACACATGTATAGCTCTTACTATGTGCCAAGTACATACCATCTTCTAAGTGTTTTACACAGATTAACTCAAATAACTCTGTGATACATAGCTGCCATCTCCCCTTTCCTGAAATTGAGAAAATTAAGGCACAAAGAGGGCAAGGAACTTACCCACGTTTACAAAGCAAGGAAATGCGGAGCTGGAACTCAAACCCAGGCAATTTGTCTTCAGAGACTATGGTCCTGATCAAAAGGCCAGACAGACCAAGCTTAAAATCTTGTTTCACCCTGTCAGACATGGTGGCTCACTCCTGAAATCCCAGCACTTTGGGAGGCTGAGGCGGGTGGATCACAAGGTCAAGAGATCGAGACCATCATGACCAACATGGTGAAACCCCATCTTTACTAAAAATACAAAAAAAAAAAAATTAGCTGGGTGTGGTGGCACGTGCCTGTAGTTCCAGCTACTTGGGAGGTTGAGGCAGGAGAATCACTTGAACTCAGGAGGTGGAGGTTGCAGTGAGCCAAGATTGTGCCACTGTACCAGCCTGGACAACAGAGCAAGACTCTATCTCGAAGAAAAAAAATAATCTTGCTTGACCCCTTACTTGTTATAAGGTCTCTTTAAACTATTGATTCGGTGATAAAATGGAACAAAAGACACCTACCATATAAGATTATTATAAAGACTAGCGGAAAAAAATCTATATCTACAAAGCACTTAGAACTAAATAGGTACTTGATCAGGGTAGTTATTACTATCAGGGAGAGATAAGGAATCTGAATATGGTTCAGCTCTCATGGACATCTGGTGATGGGGTGCGTCCCCTTTTTCCACAGTGGAATTGTCTGCCTAGGCCAGTCCACTCTGCTGCAAGGGAATAATCCATGCCATTGTTACCCAGTGCCACAGGTGGGTGAGTACAGCCTATCGTATTACATGTCTTCAATCTTCACATCCTGCTGAGCACTAGCACTAGCGGTGCTTTTTCTATGGGTATTTAAAATTTCAATTCTCCTTAATTGAAGTGGAGCACACATACAGGGCACAAATCCTAAATGCACAGCTCCAATGCTACCTGTGCAGTTGTCCAGATCCAGGCCTAGAACACTTCCAGTACCCAGGAGTCTCCCTCTGCCCTTTCCCCATCAATTCTCACACCAGCTGAGTGTGGTGGCTCATGCCTATAATCCCAGCACTTTAGGAGGCCGAGTCAGGTGGATCGCTTGAGGTCAGAAGTTCAAGACCAGCCTGGTCAACATGGTGAAACCCTATCCCTACTAAGAATACAAAAATTAGCTGAGTGCAGTGGCATGCACCTGTAGTCTCAGCGACTCGGGCACCTGAGGCAGGAGAATCACCTGAACCCAAGAGGTGGAGGCTGCAGTAAGCAGAGATTGCACCACTGCACTCCAGCCTGGGCAACAGAGCGAGACTCTGACTCAGAAAATAAAATAAAATAAAATTCCCACACCAAGGAGTTGGCCAATAGACTGACCTCTATTGCCTTGGATTCATTTTGCCTGTTTGTGAACTTTGTAGACATGGCTGGATTTGTACTGCCAGTGTTTTCGTGGGCACTTCTTGCCTTCTTCTGCCTCGCAGTTGAGTGAGCCAGCAAGCCTTTGTTGAAATCCCCTTCCTTCCTTACGGCACCCCTACACACACTTGCATAGGAGCAGAGCATGCCAGCATGAAGAGGCAACCAACTGGGTTTTTTTTAAAGTGGATGAATAAAGCAGGATCAATAGAAGCCTCATCTGTTATGAAGTAATAAATGTTCACTAAAATTCAGAACTTGACAATTAAATATTGACACCTACGTTCTGGCTCTCACAAAAGATTTAAAATCTCTCAGAGGATTTGTAAGTTGCAAGAGCAAGGAAAGAGGAAGGAGTGCCACCCAAAATGAGTTTAGGACAAGCTCAAGTCACCACTCTTAGTGACAGTACCAAGAATAACATTTTTTAAAAACAAACAACAAGAAAAAGAAACAGGCTTTGCCACATTATTCCCAGGCCATATACAGTGGACTTTGTTTACATTCTTGTATTCATTCCTTCAATGACTGGATATCATTCCCATTTTGCAGATGGGAAAATTGAAACTGAAAACAGTGAAGTAAATTGCCAAACATCCCACAATAAGTAGGTGCCAGGATTTGAACCATCTTTATCAGATTTCAGAACCTACAGTTCTCAGCCACGATCCTATGCACAGATGAGGGGCGGGTGGCACCCTGAAGAGAACTCTGGCTTTGGCAATGAACAGAGGTAGCTTCCTGACTCTGCTTCTCCCTGCTTCTCTTCAATCCTCAAGCAAGAAAAGAGCAGGGAGGGAAATTTTCTTCATTGCAGGTTTGTTAAAAAGGTTAAGTAATAATATTTTAAAAGCAACTCTCTCATCGAAGGCACTCAGCCAGTGGTGGCTTGTTAAAACTATATCAGCTCATCATGCTCACTCAGGTAAGCTGCACCTTGCAGCAAGGATCTTCCCAGAAAAAGTGGCACCCACTGGCCATGGGGAGCCTGCACCTCTCTGTCACCTTGCACTTTGTAGGCCTTCCAGCAGGCTCTGTCTCTGGCCTGAAGTTCCCATACAACACCACAGACAAGGCAGCAATTGAACACACAAGTCAACTGATGGATCTGAATGACTCACAGTAACTCATCAATTCAGTGAAACAACTATTATTGATTTCTGGGGGTTTTCCACCCCACTGGTTGTTTAACTGAATTGATGGGTGTTCTGTGGAATTGATTGCACCAGCCAGTTTTTTTAGTGCGATAGAGACAAAATGCTAGTATGTTTCCCAGAAAATGAATGAAACTCCTCATTAAAGAGAATGTTCTGCCAAATAATTTTTTCCAATGACAGTGGTTTTCCTTCTCCAGTTCTTCTGCATAGGGATTGGGAAGCATTAAGGAGCTTTCATTGCATGTCAATATGCTGATAAGCTGGCTGCTTTCAATATCCTCACAGTTCTCACGGGCTGATTACATGCCAGAATGAATCCACCAATCTCTCTCTCCCCATACACAGACTTTTGCCAGTTCTGAGTCATTGTGTTTCTTATGTTCCCTACCATCACCACCGATCATGTGCATCAAAGCTGATCTTCCCCACTAAATGAAAATGCAGACTCTTAGGCAAGTCAATAGTATGCCAGCTCTCAGGGCTGATGATTTACGCACCTATGATTTATACTTTCTTCCCCAGAGGTTGTTTTTTGTGGATTTCAGACAGCACCACACTTGTTTTCAATGACAGTGATTAAAAAAACAGATGTTAGAATGAGGACTGGGGACAGTGTGGGGGTAGAATGACAAGAAAATAAAGATGCTGATCGCGAGAAGTCTGAAACCCTTCATAGAGTCACTGAACTCTTATGCTTCCCCCAGCCATGGGGAGAGGTGGGCTTTTCCCTTTTAGGAAAATGTAGACTATAGAAAATATATATATTAGAGCTGAATTTTTATTGACTTGCCAAAAAGAAAAAAACCATCTCTCTCTTTGGGCTGTTGCCACTGTCACTGTTATTCCTCTGTTGTGCTGAGATCTCAGGGTTATTGAAATTGGTGATGCAAGTAAAATTCTCACACAATAAAAGAGAAAAAGATCCTAAGGACATGGAATCTCACTTGCCATAAAGCTCCATGAGTCAGTTGACTCCAAATATGCAATGTATATTTTGCATTTTTATGCATTTTAGACAGCACAAAATGTCTCATTTTTGGCAACTAATATGTAAGACAGTGTATTCATTCATTTTCATGCTGCTGATAAGGACATACCCAAAACTGGGAACAGAAAAATGTTTAATTGGACTTACAGTTCCACATGGCTGGGGAACGTCTCACAATCATGGGGGAGGGCAAAAAGCCTGCTTCTTACATGGCGGCTGCAAGAGAGAATGAGAAAAGCAGCAAAAGCAGAAACCCCTCGGTAAACCCATCAGATCTTGTGAGACTTATTCTCTATTATGAGGATAGCATAGGAAAGACTGGCCTTCATGATTCAATTACCTCCTGCTGGGTTCTTCCCACAACATGTGGGAATTCTGGGAGATACAATTCAAGTTGAGATTTGTGTGGGGACACAGCCAAACCATGTCATTCCACCCTTGACCCCTCCAAGTCTCATATTCTCACATTTCAAAACCAATCACACCTTCCCAACAGTCCCCCAAAGTCTGAACTCATTTCAGCATTAACCCAAAAGTCCACAGTCCAAAGTCTCATCTGAGACAAGGCAAGTCCTTTCCACCTATGGGCCTGTAAAATCAAAAGCAATACTGTCATTTCAAATGGGAGAAATTGGCCAAAAAAAGGGGGCTACAGGGCCCACACAAGTCTAAAATCCAGGGGGGCAGTCAAATTTTTAAGCTCCAAAATAATTTCCTTTGACTCCAGGTCTCATATCCAGGTCTCACTGATGCAAAAGGTGGGTTCCCATGGTCTTGGGGAGTTCTGCCCCTGTGGCTTTGCAGGGTACAGCCTCCCTCCTGGCTACTTTCACAGGCTGACGTTGAGTGTTTGTGGATTTTCTGGGTGCAGGCTGCCTGTGGATCTACCATTCTGGAGTCTGGAAGATGGTGGCCCTCTTCTCACAGCTCCACTAGGCAGTGCCCCAGCGGGGACTCTGTGTGGGGGCTCCAACCCCACATTTACTTTCCACACTCCCCTAGCAGAGGTTCGCAATGAGGGCCCCGCCCCTGCAGCAAACTTTTGTCTGGACATCCAAGCTTTTCTATACATCTTCTGAAATCTAGGCAGAGGTTCCCAAACCTCAGTTCTTGACTTCTGTGCACCTGCAGGCTCAATGCCATGTGGAAGCTGCCAAGACTTGGGGCTTTCATCCTCTGAAGAACCCCCAAGCTTGAGCTCTATTTTGGCCCCTTTCAGCCACGGCTGGAGTGGCTAAGGCACAGGGCACCAAGTCCCTGGGCTGCACACAACATGGGGACTCAGGGCCAAGCCTATGAAATCATTTTTTTCTCGTGGGCTTTGATGAGAAGGGCTGCCATGAAGGTCTCTGGCATGGTCTAGAGACATTTTCCCCCTAGTTTTGGGAATTAACATTAGGTTCCTTGCTACTTACACAAATTTCTGCAGCCAGCTTGAATTTCTCCTCAAAAAATGGGTTTTTCACCCTAGAAGAAAACCTAGACAAAACCATCCAGTACATAGGCATAGGCAAGGACTTCATGACTAAAACACCAAAAGCAATGGCTAAAAAGCCAAAATAGACAAATGGGATCTAATTAAACTCCACAGCTTCCGCACCGCAAAAGAAACAATCATTAGAGCAAACCAGCAACCAAGAGAATGGGAAACAATTTTTGCAATCTACCCATCTGACAAAGGGCTAATATCTAGAACCTACAAAGGACTAAAACAGATTTACAAGAAAAAACAAACAAACAAACAAACCCATCCAAAAGTGGGCAAAGGATATGAACAGACACTTTTTAAAAGAAGACATATATGAAGCCAACAAACATACGAAAAAATGCTCATCATCATTGGTAATTAGAGAAATACAAATCAAAACCACATTGAAATACCATCTCTTGCCATTTAGAATGGTGATTATAAAAAAAATGTGGAGACAACAGATGCTGGAGAAGATGGAGAAATAGGAACACTTTTACACCGTTGGTGGGAGTGTAAATTATTTCAACCATTGTGGAAGACAGAGTGGCGATTCCTCAAGGATCTAGAAACAGAACGATTTCATTTGAGCCAGCAATCCCATTACTGGGTATATACCCAAAGGACTATATATTGTTCTATTATAAAGACATATGCACACCCATGTTCATCGCGGCACTGTTTAAAATAGCAAAGACCTGGAATCAACCCAAATGCCCATCAATGATAGACTGCACAAAGAAAATGTAGCACATATACACCATGGAATACTATGCAGCCATAAAAAAAACGATGAGTTTGTGTCCCTTGTAGGGACATGGATGAACCTGGAAACCATCATTCTCAGCAAACTGACACAAGAACAGAAAATCAAACACCACATGTTCTCACTCATAGGCGGGTGTTGAACAATGAGAACACGTGGATACAGAGAGGGGAGCATCACACACTGGGGTCCTTTGCATGGGCTAGGGGAGGGATAATGGGGGGGAGGGTGGGGAGAGATAACATGGGGAGAAATGTCAGGTATAAGTGATGGGGGCATGGAGGCAGCAAACCACCTTGCCATGAATGTACCTATGCAACAATCTTGCATGATTGCACATGAACCCCAGAATCTAAAGTATGATTTAAAAAAGGACACACAAAAAAGGGTTTTTCTTTTCTACTACATTGTTAGGCTGCAAATTTTCTGAACTTTTACACTCTGTTTCCCTTTTAAAATGGAATGCTTTTAACAGCACCTAAGTCACCTTTTGAATGCTTTGCTGCTTAGAAATTTCTTCCACCAGATACCCTGAATCATCTCTCTCAAGTTCAAAATTCCAGAAATCTCTAGGGCAGGGGCAAAATGACTCCAGTCTCTTTGCTAAAATATAACACCTTTGCTCCAGTTTCCAACAAGTTCCTCATCTCCATCTGAGACCAGCCGAGACCTTATTGTTCATATCACTATCAGCATTTTTGTCAAATAAGTCTCTAAGAGGCTGCAAACTTTCCCACATTTTCCTGTCTTCTTCTGAGCCCTCCAAACTGTTCCAAGCTCTCCTTGTTAACCAGTTCCAAAGTCACAGCTACATTTTCGAGTATCTTTTCAGCAATGCCCCACTCTACTGGTACCAATTCACTGTATTAGTTCATCTCCACTCTGCTATTAAAGACATACCTGAAACTGGGAACAAAAAGAGGTTTAATTGGACTTACAGTTTCACATGGCTGGGGAAGGTCTCACAATCATGGGAAAGGTCTCACAATCATGGCAGAGGGAGAAGGTACTTCTTACATGGCAGCAGCAAGAGAGAATGAGAGAAGCAAAAGCGGAAACCCCTGATAAACCCATCAGCTCTTGTAAGATTTATTCAGTATCATAAGAATAGCATGGGAAAGACTGGCTCCCACGATTCAGTTACCTCCCCCTGCGTCCCTCCCCCAACACATGGGACTTCTGTGAGATACAATTCAAGTTGAGATCTGAATGGGGACACAGCCAAATCATATCAGACAGTACTGACATTGAGGGTCACACAGTGTGGGGCGACACATTGCCAATGATTAGAAATTTGATTTGCTTCTGCATATTAACATATTTTATGGCACACAAAAGATGAGCCAGTAAACAAGCCTCCCTCATTGAAAACAAATAAGGAATTGCAAATTTGACTATGAGGCACTAGAAAGTAGACAATTTTTCAGTGGTACTAGAAGAGCATCCCTCAAAGTGGCAGGTATAAAATAAGTGAACACCCATAAATGATTTAAAAAACTCTAAGCAAACTAGAAATAGAAAGGAAATTTCTTAATCTGATTTTTTAAATTATCTATTAAAATCCCACAGCAAATACTATTTTTAATGGCAATGACTAAAGGCATTCTCTCTGAAATAAGAAACAGGGCAAGGAAACCTGTGACCAGCACTTCTAGACAACATTGTATTGAAGATCCTGCCAGCACAGTACGAAAAAGGAAGAAGACCTACAAAGATTGGAAACAAGAAAACAAACTGCCAGTTGTCACACTGTCCAAAAAGGAAAACTCGAGATATCTGTAAGTAGAATTAATAAGAGAGTTCCACATTGCTGTGGAATCTTCAGGATGTTTTCTGTTGCTGTTGTTTTTCCAATTGCACCTAACCCACATATACTTAAAAGCAGTTTTTCTCATCAAGACTTTCCTAGTTTTCAAAGAAATAACAACTTTTGGTCGCTAATTCATATATTTCCCTAAATCATAATTTTATTGTTAAATATAACTGTCATTAACAGGTTTGGGTCCAAACACAACTAAATCCTACTAAGTATGCTGCTCAAGTGATAGAAGCAGAAATGCATGGATGTATGAGCCTCAGCTGTTGCTTATATTGAGCATGTCTTTTTAGGCTAATGTTTTGACCTATGGAGGGTCTTACCCACCTGGAGAAACTGCCTTCCTAGTGCTAGTCAATTCCCAGAGATGGTAGTATGAGTGCTCATTCAAACACAAACCAATCAATCCAGAGCCCACTCCTCTCCCACCTCTTCTATCAGGCTCTTATTCTTGAGGCCAATATTCCCCTGCCTAATCATCCCAGGACTAGGTGCCAGACAATTCAGGACACCCCCTCCTCTCAGGGCCTGCTAAAATTATTCTAACTAGTCGATCCTAAGCTTGCTTACCTTGCCTCATCCATTCCTTCCCATGGAAACTACAATAAAAGTTCCTGCCTTGTAAGTATCTTCCATTAGATAATGCATGTTACAGAATCTGCAAACTTCTGACCCGTGATGTGCTTCTGATGCACTTTGCCATTAAGTTCCTTGCTTTCAGAAGCATAACCAAGGAATCACCAGGCACTATGAGGGAAAGACAAGCTTCCATCCACAGCACTCTCAGGGGCCCAAAAACTTTATTGCCAGTAGTGGTTCTGGCTGCATGCAAATACCAGGTAAAAGCACCCGGCTGACCACCAGTGCTTCCCACATTGTATTCATCTCTGGTCACCTCCACTTGGCCTTCACAGATCTTGTCCATGCCAAACCTACTGAGAAGGCTGCAGGAGAGCAGCAAGCTAGTACGACATGCTGCATCATCATTTGTCAGGCCAAGCTTCACACTGTATTTTGGCAGTTCGTGTGCATAAGCTGCACAGACTATCATGTCCCATTCTATACAGGCATAAGCCATCTGACAAATGATATCTCTATTTATCACACAAACTATCATTCTGTATTTGTGTATGTTGGACTTATTTTTATCCGTATCACCAAGTGTT